ATATAATTTTATATGGAACTCATTTACCGTGTAAAGGGGGGGAATAGCTGTACTCTATACATATATATGAGTATATGAGAGAGTTTATACACTCGTACAATTCTTAAGGTAAGAAATGTCGGCTTATACCGATTTACTTATGTTAAATGGTTTATAACGTTACAACAAAAACATTAAATGATCACAATATCCTTATTGCGGCAGGTCTTGTTTACTAATACTTTTTATTTTATTTTTGTATTTTATTTCGTTTTTTTTTAAATATCTTTCTTCTAAACAGACTTAAATTTTGAAAAAATTGCAAAAAAAAAAAAAATTAATTTTTTTTTAATGTCTACAACCGCCAAGGAATAAGTAAATTCATAATCTCGCGATATACATATATATATAAATATATATGTGTATGATAAAAAAAGTATTGGAAAAATAATATTATAATTTTACCCTAAAAAAAAAAAAAAAATAATAAATAAAAAAATAAAAATTAAAAAACGACGTAACAGTTACCTCCAAATAGAAAAAAGCAAATAATAATAAATAAATAAATAACTGAAACCAAAACCTTATTCGTAAAAAAATTTAAGACATAAATAAATAATATTTAATCGAATTCTCATCGACATTCGCATTTTCTTCTCACTAAACATGTAAACAAACATACACTCGAAGACACATTGACAAGGCCATATATTAACGTAACGTTAAACCATAATATTCTGCTCACCCAATTATATTATACTTTGCTACGCTTAAAGATCATATCGATACGAATAATAACATCAAACTAAGAGGAAGAACAAGACGAAGAAGAAGAATAAGAAATGCTCAAATGTTAACATTAAAGTTATTGTTAACATCACATTATTCTGTTATCATGAGAGTGTTATTGCCAGCTATCGCATTCGTGTTAATGTTAAGAAGACATCACTAAAGGAGTAAAATTAAACGTTTTTAAGGAAACAAATTTAAAAAAAGTTAAAAGAAAAGAATTACAAAAAAAAAAAAAATAAATAAATAAATAAATCAATCAATTTAACACACTTAGGAAGCGTGTGTAACTCCCTGGAAACTTTATTTACATAATAATAATAATAAAAAAAAAAATATTTATATATGTATATGTAAAGGCAATTACGCTAACAACCAACAACCAATAACAACAACAATTATTATTGTATTTAAACTTGAAAATCATTGTTTTTATCTCTTAAACGTATCAAGTAAATAATGAACAAACAATGAAATAAATTGAAAAGAAAAATTACATAACAAACAAAAATTAATCGTAAATTATACAAGAATTTCTTATAAATCGTTAAAAAGCAGTTGGTTTACTATGCAAAATCCACAATCAAATCAGTTTATCGGTATTATAGATGAACAAATTTTCATATTTGTTATAATTTTTTTTTTTTTTTTTTTTTTTTCATTTTCCTTTGCCAAGGGTCGTTGTACAAGATTTTTTTATCAAACACTATAGATTAATTTGTTCATAAGCTTTTAATTGTGATTCCATATTTTTTTACCGTAATTGTAAGAGAAAACAAAAAAAAAAAAAGAAAAGAAAAGAAAAGATCAAAATGCAAGCAACGATTACTTACGTAACACACTACTCCATGCATCCGAAATGGCTAACAAAATAGTTTGTAAACTAAGCAGGTAATTAAAACACATCCTCACATCATTAACATAATATTAATGGTATTCTATTAATTTGTTGTTGTAGTTCTTTTCATTTACTTACTTAATTATTTATATTTGATAATTTAATCATTATAACACAATCTACTTCTCTATTGCTTTTGAAAAATGTTTGCTGTAAGCCGCGAATGTGTAATACTTTCCACTTTTGGAGCTCTATAGCTTAACGTAGCCTATGAAGGGAGAATATTTTTATGTTTCATCATAGATATCTGCTTGAGTTGAATTTTTCTTTTTTCTTCTGTGCATCATTATTGTGGTAACGTGTGGTTAATAAATAGAAATTTTGTAAACCTTAGTAAAAAGAAAAGCTTAATTTGCAAAAATTTTTTTGTTTTAATCACTTTACTAATAGTATTAACAGCTTTATATAATACATTTCTTTTACATTTCATTTCAAAGTTCTTTGCACTGCTTTTCACAAGAGACTTTCTAAAAGAGACTTTCTGTTGTTTGTCACTTGCACTGTTATTGAAATCTCAAAAAAAAAAAAAATTGTTATTTGTCAAGTTGTTTATGAAATCAATTCAGCGAACGTATTTAATGACAAATTCGTGAATGATTTTGATATCAATAATGTTATCGCGATATTTTTGTGAGTTTAAATCCTGATATTATTAATTATTGTCTCCATTGTATATAAACCAAAGATTAGACAAATGACACATATGACAAGCAAGAAACGTTTAAAGTTTATTATATTTTCTCATTCGCCGTCAGTATGTCATGCTGACCTTATATTTGAGACAGTGAAGAATAACTAGAAGGCAAATCCTGAATTCTGTCATATAAGCTTACCTTTCCATTGTACATTTTGAACGGATTCAAGCATATCCGTCCGTCTGTCCAATAGTGCATTCTTTTGGGTATTCTCAACGGATTTGCAAAACTTCTAAAAAACAATACTTAAATCTTCTCAGCAATCGACCTGATTTGCCGAAAATAATTGAATTAAAGCTTAAATGTCTGTCCAAAAAAAGAAAAAAACTCTTCAACACACGGCGAGTAACAAATTTCTAAAATTCGCGACTACTATAAATCTTATATACTAACACTGGTCATTGTTCCTCGTAATTAGGATTAAATATTTTTCCAATTCCTTGACTTCACTACCCTAGACGCCAGCAAAGCGATCTTTCCCCGCTTCAGGTTTTTAGATGATAGTGACTATTTTAATAAGGCTTCAGAAGCTGCATGATGTGCATCATGTACACAATGGGCAAAGATCACTTTGAGAAGCTGAAACTGGAACGGGAAAATGGCCGCAACTAATCTGCGAAGACTCGAGCAGTAACCAAAAAGTTTCAATTTACTAACCATAATATAATATTGATATCAAAATTAGTGTCAATCCTCCATAAGTTTACCTGAAGGGTAAAAGTTGCACCTATTGATAAGCAATTTTCACTCCTATGTCGACTATGAGTCGGCATTGTATGTTTTCCACCAATTCTTATGTCAAGTTAAAGTTGACATCATGTTATTTATAATTTTTTTGTTATTTTCTTTCAAATACTAAATGTGTCATATGCGTTAATGGTAGGTAGAAAAGAAAAAAGTGTTAAGGTTCCAACGGGTTAAGTCTCAGAACGTAGACATTCAAAATGTTATTTTAGGCGAACGAAGCTCTTTTACTTAACAGTGCCAATAACAGAAATAAATATAATCTTTTTTATGTAAATTACATGCTTAAGGATGAAAAGTGGTATCGTTACTCTGAGAGACTCTAAACAAAATTCTAGACAAGTACTCTTATAATTTAAATAAATTTTACTGATTGATAATTTGTTTGGTATTTTTCTGAGAAAACCTTAAAATATATTCCAATATTTTTCTTTTTAATATTAAATTAAGTGGACTGTCAACTTTGACGCGCACCGTAGCATGCCCTGGCAGGTTATGTCTTATCAAACGGAGAAACCCACAAAGCTTCTCCGTTAACTAATTTCAATGACAGGCTTGCTTAGGCCAATAGCAAGAACTTGAAGAAATCCCATGACGTCAACGAGGCTATCTCCGTAGAGTCGATTATCGAAAAAGCTAGCATGTATTCCGGAAAAAGCCACAGAGTTTCTCCATTAAGTAACTTCAATGGTAAGCTTGCTAACGTCAATAGCAAGAACTTGAAGAAATCCCGTATCTCCGTAGTATATCCGTAGGTTCGGTTATGGAAAACTTTATCACTTTCCGCAGTCTTGTATGTTTTGGCTAATGGGTTAAACAGACATATTCGATTGTGCTGCGAACCTGCAACGCATCGCTCTTGCCTTTCGCATTATAAAATAGGCTAGGGATTGGCCCATGTTAGTCAATTTGCCAATGTCTTTTCCTTTTCACTTCTAATAGGTCGTACAAGCTCTATATAAAAGCAATTCAGGCAAAGTTTTTTTTTCTTCTCAAATTGATTTCTTTCCGTCTTAACTTGATTTGCCTTTAGTTTAATCGAATTCTTTCGGGAATCAACTTCAATTTACAAGATCTCGTTTTTGGTTTTGCATAAATGCAATGTTGTCGTCATACGAAACCATGCATGTCTATGGCTATGTTATTAAGGAACATTGTTTCATATCGTTTATGTATTTCTCTTCTTTTGTTTCCATTTTATGATTATTTTAGGATGATGAAAATGATTTTAGCGGTCCAGCGTTGGGTGGACATGTTAAAACTCATAGCGATGCATCGGATGATGACGATGACGATGACAAACCGGTAACAATGCGTCCAACGATGTTGATGCGCGTTACAGGCACTCATCTGGACGTGCCAAAGCTAAAAAAACCATTTCGCATGGAAGTCTACGATTTGTAGATAAACAGCAATAGTTTCGAACTAAGACACATATACAACCATTACTGCAACTACGAAAATATAGAAAAGAAAATTGTGTTAAGATGACAATTATTTATAATATTGTTTAAATGATTTTAAGTAAAAAAAGAAAATCAGAAAAAAAAATCACTCAAAATCACTAAAAAGTTCTTAAAGAAATTTATTGTATTATAATAACAAAAAAAAAAATTAATAAATAAATAAATAAATAAAAAAAAAAAATAAGAAACGATTCAAGTATTTGTAAAGTACAGATTTATACATATTTGTATAAAATTTTAGAATTTTAAGATTAATTAGATTTAGAGAAAGAAAAATGAAATTTTAATTATAAAATTAAGCTTAAACTAAAAAAAAAAAAAACAAAAAAAATAAGCAAAAATAGTCACTAGATTTTTTAATTTCCTTTTTTTTTCATTTTTTTCTTTTAGTTTTTTTTTTATATAAATTTGACTTACATTGCTTTAGTTATAGAATTTTAGTTTAAAATAGATCGCTTAAACGATTGAATTGTAGTATTCTTGCATTTTCTAGAGTTCAACTCTCAATTTTATTTATAACTTAGTATTTTTCCTTTACTTATTTAATTTTTTCATTTTATTTATAATTTTATTATAAAAGTTTGCCACAGTAGATTTTGAAGCTATAAACACACAAGGAAATCAATAATAATAATGAAATTAATAATAAAAAAAAAAAAAAAGTAATCGAAGAATTCCTAGAACCCAACGTATTGTAAAAATTTTCAATTTCTGTTATAAAATGTTTTAGTTAAAAAATCAATTTTATATAAACAGTTGTACTTAAATGAAAAAAAAAAAAATTTAAAAAAAAAAATATCGTACAATGAAAGCGTATACTCTTAGAAAAAACCAGAAGTGTGATATATCTGTCTGGTCACTTTGATTCCTTGTTTTTTTTTTTTTTTTTTTTAACTACCTTTTATAACCATCACCCTTGCGTGGAATTATTGTACTTTTCATAGCCACTTCGCAAAGCGAAAATTATCTTTGTTATGTCCGCGTGTATGGGCGCTTTAAGGTGTATGTTGTTTGAGAAGAAAGCCATGATCAACTTGTGCTTCGTGTCACGTAGACGGAAAACATATTCAAGCCATCATGTTGTTGCAATATCTGGTAAACAATATTGTATGCCTCTCGACGCAAGGGAGGCCACCTGAATGGAGAAAATTTACAACAGATATTAC